TTAAATTTTTTTAAAAAGTCTGGTCATATTTTTATTGGTTATTCAAGTTGCCTTTAAATCTTTTAAGTTACTTACGTCATGTCAAGACAAATTTCTATATAATTTAATTTGAAATCCAAGTTAGGCATGAAATCAGGCTAGGAGATTTTAAAGTTAACTCATTAAGCCAGATATAATAACAATACAGGAGAATTCCTTGGAGCCTTGATATTTTTGCATGCTCAAGAAGTTATGTACATTGCAGTTCTTGTTAGATGAATTTTATACGTGATGAAATTGTAAATAATTTAATGGGATAATAAAAAATAATTTAAATAAAGTATTGTTTATTTTATAATGTAATAACAGTAATTAAATGTATAATATTAATATATATATATTTTAGTTATTTTATAACTTTAATTTTATAAACATTCTTAACCAAACACATTAAATAATTTCTTATTCAATCTCAATTTCAACTACAGTTTTAACCAAACATATATTTTAACAATTTAATTTCAACTAAAAATACTTTTTATAAAAATAATTTTTTTTCAAACCACAACTATCAAATACACTTTATTTTTTTTAACAGGGCCATTTGCAAGTGAGCAATATACTATTATTTATTAAATCATCTAAGAACCCCTTTATCACATGCATGTGGGTGCATCTTACAGTGGCAGATAAAGGAAAGAAAAAGAAAGGATCTCCACGGGGAATGGAGAAGGCCCTTTACTTCTTAACCTCTTTTGCATGGCAGAATCTTTTCATATGGGACGATGGCGCTGGTCGTTATGTCTTCGTCTTGGTTTTATCTTTTCTTCTGTAGAAAGGAGGAGAAAGCTGATTGCACTGATCAGAGTCTGAGTGATAGGTATAAAAAGTTAAAAAACAGATAAAAGAAAAATGAAAATCATTTCGCTATGGCCAAAACCGCGCTGTGTTTTTCTATGTTCCCGTGTCTTTATCTTCGTTCTGCCGTCTATTTTCTGGCATTTCTAGAACAACTGTGTGCATGGGTGGGGGGTCGGATTTTGAAGTTTCAAACAAAATCTGCATAAGAGTTTACACAGTAGTATATATAGAAGGATAAACCCTTGTATTATTTTGGATGGGCATTCTATTTTGCAAATAATATTGTTGAAGGCTCAAACCCCTGTTTGCATGGGTGGTTCTGTAATCTTTTGATTCTTTTTTGTCCAAATAAAATCATGAAAAATCACCATTATTGATCTGCCAGTTCCAAAATAAATCTCACAGGAGAGTCAAGGTAATTTCTAGCTGGAATTTTATTCAACAAGAAAGGTTTGACAGACATCTTAAATAAGATTCTAGTTATTACACAAGTTAATAAGAAAATATTTAGTTATGTTTAAGAACAGAAAAGACCGAGATAATAAGAAAAAAATGAATATGTTTCTATTTATTTCATGTTTTAAAAGTATAAACATTCATTCTAAAATCATCATATATTTAAAATTGTTTAAAGTTGTTATAAAATTATGTTTAGCAGCCTCGTAGTCATTGTCTTGCTAGAAATATTTTGATGAATTTAACTAATTTAAATGATTTAATATTCTATTAAGATATATAATTAGTTTATAAGTACATACATTTTTGTAAAATAAAAAATGTTGGTGCCCATTGAACAAAAGATTGGTAGGCTACTGAACGAGCGAGCTAAGCACGGCTTGGACCTAAATACATCGAACCATTAAGTTTAGATTTTGTAGGTTTTTTTTTATTATCTTATTTAAATTTAGTAGTTTAATCAGATCGACATTTTTTAAAAAAACTTTGTTCGATATTTTGTTTATGCAACATTCTGATATAATTGCGTTTACATATCCCAACAATCTCGATGAAAAATCAACTGTCAACTGTAGATCATTTAATGAGCTTCTTTCTGCCAAAGCTTTTCCAGAGACGAAGTGAATAACGAGAATATATTTGTTTGTTTTCTTGTTTTAAAAGAAATTTTGAAAAGGTTTTATTTTTTATTTTATTTTAAATTAATTTTTTTTATATTTTTATACACTACTATAAAAAATAATCTTTTTAAATTAATTTTTTTTAATATTTTTTACACTACTATAAAAAATAATCTTGATATATTTTTAAATTAAAAATACTTTAAAAAATAACTACTAAATTCATTTAAAACTTGTTAACAAATACAAAATCTTTTTGGTTCTCGCCATTTTTATAAAAATTTAATTATTTTATATTTTTAAGTGTTGAAATTAAAGATAAATTTAAAAAAATAAAAAAATTAATTTTATATATTTTTAAATAAAAGTATTTTAAAAAATAAAGAATATCTTGTTGTTTTAAATAAAAATATTTTAAAAAATAAAGAATATCTTGTTGTGTGCCGTAATGAAAAAGGACCATTTGAATCTTCATTGCTGCAACAAACCCCGTAAATGCCACGAGGATAGTGGTTAAATACACCGGATCTTACGACTCATTTATGACTGTCGTTTAGATTTGGTTGGATAATAACTAAAATATTATTTTTAGTTTGGTTTTATTTTGTTTTGTTAAAATAATAATTCAATTAAATTAAAAAACTAAATTGGAATCAGTTTAAACCAGTAAATTTTAATTTAGTTTTTTAAAATAAAAACTAATTTAAACTAATTTGGTTCAATTTTTTATTTCACTAGATTTTAGCTTGGTGCTTTTCAATATCCTTATTATCTTAATAAATTTTTTTATAATTTGATTTCTATAATTTTCTTAATTTAATCAATTTTTAAAATTTTACCTCACCCCTACCCCTAATAATAGCAGCTAGCAGAGCCCTGTCTCGTTGTGAATTTGTGACATCAGGCTAGCCAGCCACCTTCAATTACGGGCAAATGGTAAGTGTAAGATCGGAATTGGTCAAAGCTTGAGGCGGGACACGTGTCTCTTAGGGCCATAGGAGATACTACTATTCAGTGCTTTGCATGCACACCGGAGATATTTTCTTCTTCAGTGTTATTGAGTTCAGCCATTTTCCTAAAGTTAACACAGTGACTTTGTGGATCTTATCTTTATGCTAGATATTTTCTTCTTCTTCTTCTTCGTTTTTTTTTGGACAATGTTACTTGAGCTTAACCAAGTTCGTTGAGTTGACAAGGTGACTTGTTGCTCTTGTCTTTATACTAGACTGAGTTCGAAGTAAACTATGTGTGCGTTAATCTGCTGTGACTTGAAAAACCTGATGAGTGCACTTACAATCTAGTCGTTATTCAATTTAATTTTGTTTTTTTTTTTTATAAAAAAACATTAAAAATAATATTGAGTTAATTTTTTTCATTAAAAAAACTAGAATTATAACATTTTGAATTGATTTTGATTAAATTAATTTATTTTTTGAACCCATGATTTAGATCATGACTTTATTTTATTTAATAATTAAAATTTTAAAATTATTTTTTATTTTTTTAAATAATTATAAAAACAAATATTTTATAGAAAAGACAACAAATAAAATTATTAATGAGAAATGCATTGCTTCAACCTAAACTCAATTTCCTTACTAATGCGTCTACTGCTTATTTGAATGAAAACATTTTTTATTAAGTATTTTTTTTAAATAAAAACCTATTATAATTTTAAAAGCAAGATTTTTTTATATAAAAAAGAAGTTAAGATAATGTCTTAATATCTTGTATATGTTTGAATGGAAGAAGTTTAATAAATGCAACAAAATAATGTCAAAAATCCAAAAAAAATAAAGAATTTTATTTTATTTTTTTGTGAATGTTCGGGAGCAATCTTTCACTTTTTATTTATTTTTAGAATATTAGATACACTGTAATCTAGAAATAAAATGTTGATATTTCCATAAAAATATATAATATTATTTAAAAACAATATAAAATTGAATATTGAATGGTGATTTAAATATCATGCTAATATTTTTTATAGTGCATTTCTTGAAGATTCAAAAAAAAAAAAAACATAGAAAAAAACAAGGGACTAGGCCAAAAAGATAGGCCCTGCGAGCTTGGCCCAGTAAAAAGAAGGGCACATGGGGCTACATGCCTAGCCTTGATTTTTTTTCTAAGAGTGGAAAAAATGTTGTCTATTGTGGCCTACGACATCATTTGCTTGCTTAGCTTCTCCGCATCAAAGATGTCTAGAAACGTGGATATAATTATTTTTTAAAAAATTATTTATTTAAAAATATATTAAAATAATATTTTTTATTTTAAAAAATTATTTTTAATAATAATATATTAAAATAATTTAAAAATCCTAAAAAATATTGATTTGAAGTAAAGAAAAAAATAAAAAAATTAAATTTTCTTCAAAAGAAATTTTAAAATGTAAAAACAACATGTAGGAACATCAAATTGAAGGGTTTTTTTGATAAAAAAATAATTTTTAATATATTGTTATTTAAAAATATTTAATAAATACTCTTATAATCTAGTAAACTAATTTTTTAACTACTCGATTTATAAATAATACAGTAAAACAGTCTTCTAAGCATAATCACTTTTTTAAAGCAGAACAAAGCTAAAAAACACTTTAAAGGTCCTCTTAATTGTTTTCTCTCACTCCTGTCATTTTTTTATTGAATCTCTCTTCTTTTATGAGGATTGAAATGTAAAAAATAAAATAAAATAAAAAATAAAATCATACTAAAATATAAAAAATCTTCAAAGTAAAGACTTGCAGATTTTTTTTAAAAGGCACCAAATATGTAGGATAAAAAATCTTGTATATCTTCCATTTTTTTTATTTTGATTCCTATATTTTTAATTTTTTATATAATCAAATTTATTTTTGTAAAATTGAACATTAAACTAATATTAAAATGTTTTTAAAATCACTGTAATTCAATATAAAATAAATTATCAAGTCTAATTATGTTAAAGATCAAAATTTGATGCTTGAATAATAAATAACCCGACTTCACTTAATAATAAAAAGCTTTAAAAAAAGAAGAAGGTGTATTTGTCAAAAAGGAAAAAAGGGTTAAGTTGATATAACAAATCAAAAGATGAACTGCGAGTCCACACGAACTGAAGGGATAAAATACAAAAGAAACCATTAAAAGTTAAGAGAAAGCTGCCTTCGAAAATAAATAGATAAACAAAAAGGTGTAGCAGCCTCTGGCAGTGTATATATGTACCCGGAAGGCTTCCCTCACTACAGTTCCCAAAACGCAACCAGGTTAGTGAAGCTCCTCCCCTGAAAGTAAATGGCAGGTCAGGAAGGAGATGCAGCGAAGCCAAAACAAGACCAAGAAGAAAAACCAAGAGAAGACAAGCTTCTCTCTTCTTATTTAGGCCTGAGTTTCTCTCTCTTTTTAGCGGTTCTGCCTCCAAACTCCATTTCCTTAATACCAAACCTCCAGACCCAGATCAGAAACCTCTCAATACGCCTTTTACAAGCGGAAGAACAGCTAAAACAAATGAAGTCAAGAAGAAAAGAGGACTCAAAAGCAAATGCAAGAGTTGTAGAGATCTTTGCTAGCCACAGGAATGCCTGGCAAGCTGAAGAGAAGAGGTTGCTTCAACAGATCGACTTTGCAAGTGAAGAAGTGTCCTCATTAAGAGCTAAAGTTGAAGACTTTGAGAGAGAGAAGGAAGAGTGGCAAGGAAAGATTCAAGATTTGGAGAGGGAGGTTGGTGAGAGAGAGGAAATGATTGGGTTTATGTCACGAAATGCTGTTGCTGGTGGTGGTAGTGAGTTTGTGGGTGGTGAGGAGGAATCTGGTAGGTGCGGGAATGGGGAATGTTATGGCGGGGAGGAAGAGGACGAGGAGAATGACAATTTTGTTTATGGTCAACAGTATTATCAGCATTTACTGCACCAGCAGCAGCAAGGGAGTGATGGAGGTTTCAGTTCTGATTTATTAGCTTCTGCGTCTAAGTTTTGGAGCGAGACAGCTAGTACTCTCTGGCAGGTTTTGCTCTTCTTTTGATCTTTTCTGTGCCTTCACTTCAGATTCATTTGAACTTTGGGGATGGAAGTTATATTATCTTCCTGGGTGTGTTTGGACTTGGGATTTAAAATGGAGGAAAACTTAACAGAATTGTAGGATCTTAAGATGAGTTTATGTTGTCTGTTTTGGTATTTTGGATCTCTCTTGTCAATTTTCATTCACAGACATCTTCCTTTGACATGGAAATTCATCCCTGCATTTTCTCTGAAGAGAAGGAAGAGAAAAGGTTGAAGTCACCTCCTTGTTCACAAGCCAATCCAGAAAGTTATTTATTCATTATTGACTTTCAATTCAATTTTTATCTTAGCCTCAAGCATGGATTAATTTACTACATCTTCTGTTGAGTGAATAAAACAATCCTTCAATTGTCTTTCTTTGTCCATCCCTAATTTGCATCTTATCCCTTTTTTTCCATCTACGAGATTTGTTGATGCATATTTTAGTTTTTGGTGCCCACATAAAAAGTGGCTGTGGATATATCTTAGTTTTGGTTCCTGCGTGAAAAATAGATGTACTAGTTGTGCTACTCTCACCATATAAAGTTCATTGTTTCACTGGACCACTCATGCTTATCTAAGGCATGACAACTGAAGTTTGTTTTTATATATAATGACACTGTTGATGTGGCATTAGATTTCAACTTAACACAAGTGATCATGCATGATAAAACCACGAAAACCACTAAGAATGATGTAATGATTTTGATGGTGTTACGATCCTGGTAAAATACAAGTCTCTTATGATTTCTCTAGATCTGCAAATAAATTCTTATATAGACAAAATCAGTGGTTACGAGTATCTAAGATAGTTAGATAAATCTATCGGTTAACTGGCACTTATCTCTTCTTACAACAAATATGAATCTCTTGGATACGGTGGAGTTACCCTGCAGTTGATGATGATCCAGTTTATTTTCAGGAAGATTGCTTATGGTTAAAGCAAGTTTTTTTTTTGCCAGCTACATAATTAGTTTTGACCTGGGTCTGGTGAAACATGGCATCTGCTTCTGTTATAATCATGCTTGTTTTTCCATGTGAATGTAGACTACTGTCCTATATTGTTGTGGCGACTTGTCTCTCTAAAGATGACTTGTTAGTGAAACACAAGGGCCCATTTGGCCCTCTAAACTCCATAGTCACTGATCATGTGCCCGTTCAGTTTGGCCTTCCTAGATTTCATCAAAAAATCATGCAGTTGAAATTTTAGAGTTTAAAACACAAAAAATGATATGGTTTTGTGAAATTTCTTCCCATAGAATCTAATTCATGGTAAGTTGAAATTCTACCTGTTTTGCACAAGAATGCCTTTTAACGTTTTGGCAAACCTGGTACCAATATGATTAGTTAGTTAAGAGACCATTGGCTGCTTCTTGACCCTTTACCTTGTATACACTGTAACAGTTGGTGGGGCGATTGATTCTCTGAGTTACCTGAAACTAATGCAAAAAAGTGATATATTGCAGAATTCTTTTTCTAAGTAATTCAATTTTAAATGTTTATTTCTATGGTTTTTTAATTTTAAATATTTATTTTTGCAGGATGTACAATATGATTCCCATGAATCACTCTATCACATGAAACATTTTGTAGCAAGGTAAATCTAACATTCCCTCCCTCCCTCTCTCTCTCTATATATATATTGTTGCTGCAGTGTTGTAACTAATGAAAGGGCAACTTACATTTCCTGATCAGAAGAGAGTCCCCGTGGAAGGTAGATGGTGATTCAACAGGTGTGTCCTCTAAGTTAAAATTACTTGAAGAGGAACTTCTGAATTTGGAAAAACTTGGAAAAACAGATATATCAAAGGTTCCATCACTAATGAGGAAGCAGGCAAAGAGATATCAAGCTCTAGCAGGAAAGATTGACGATCTTTGCAGAAGAATGGTAATGCATAAGTGATATATCCTCTATATTTTATGATGTGCTGTCATATATTTTTTTATAAGTTGATTTTCTGTTCTTTTTTTTTTCATCCTTTAGTACTTTTAGGACCATCTACCTAAAGTTGAGCATGATGCTGTTCCTAAAATATGCAAAAAAACTGCGTAGTTACATTGTCCTTGAGTATCTAGCATTTGATATGGTAGAGCATGCTTGTCATTTGATATGGGTTTGCTCATAATTTTGTTTACCTAGGATGAAGCTGAAATGATGAGTTGTTTGCCCCATTGAGCTATCTAATTAAACCTTTTTTGATTGCAAGGTTCGTGGTCACAAGGAAATTATTTATTCTTATTTGAGAACAAAAATTGAAAGGAAAGTTCTCAGTTCCGCATTGTGAACAATTTGTATTAGGAAACCCATTAAATCTCTTCCAAATGATTGCTTATATGGTGTATGGTGCACATATGTAGACTGCTTTAAAGTGAATCCACCATGAGTTGATGAGTTTAATGTTCGCTCCACTTCCTACCTGCCCCAACATTTCTTTTTTACCATATAGGCTTTCATTTGGATGAGTTTTAATTTATGGAGGTGTCTCTAGAGAAGAAACTTGTAACAAATCTCTCGTGCTCCCTCAAATGCACTGTTGAAGGTAGTTTTAGTTTGTGCATTTGTGCTGGTTTCACTTGTAAAAATTCGTTTGGGGTCAAAACTAAACCCTAGTCTGCCTGTTGATCTTAACTATTTTCTCTTACAAACACATTCACACAGAAATGTAATTCTGTGTCCAATGCTTCTCTAGTAATATTCATTTTGAGTTCTTTTCTATGTCAGGCTTGTTGCTTAAAATCTTTCCCTGCTTTTACAGCAAGCTAGTGATCCATGTGAACCTACACTAGGTCCAGAGTTTCGAACACAGAGGCAGACAGAGTTTTTGCTTGAAGCATTTCGGCTCAAGGAACGGGCATCTGAAACTGGACAGAAGCTGTTGACATTACAAAATGAGATCAGTAAGAGCTACTCTGGGGATGAGGTGGGGAGCCAGGCCAAGCTCACCATGAGACGTTCTTTGGAGGCCATAAGGAACAATTTAAAAGAAGTTCAGAGAAACTTGGAAATATGGCTGGCCAGAATTATTGGAGATCTTAAAGGGATTCTGGCCAGAGATGGTGCCTCTTGTCAACGCGAATATTACATTTCTAGGTATCCTTTTGTTCAATAGAATCTTCTGACTGGTAGTCTCGAGTACTGATCTAACTGAAATGTATTAGCCCTTCTGGTAAATATGCTGATCCAAGGCTTGAAAATAGCAGTCAGCAGCCACATGGAAATATGATCGTTCCACTATGTTTATGGCAGCATTCCTATACCAATCTATCTAAATGAAGCAATCACCAGTCAAAACAAGTTGTCCGTGCTTCAATCTGTCATCGCTAGTTGAATAGTAAATATGTTGATCCTGGAGTTCTACATTTACAGATATGGTTTGGAATTGAAACAATAGATCGACAATAACTCTTCTAAAAGAAGATAATTTGCAAAACACACTTTCACGTCTAGTATGTTTGCTTCAAGGCGGAATTCAACGCTCTTTCTAGTAAAGATTTGGCAACGAGGGGGTAGTGAAAGGATCATTACCATTTTGCTACATGATAACAGGATCTATATGTTGGTTTGAAATGGTCCATTCATAGAGAAGGAAAGAAAGTAGCTGTTCACGGACACTGCAAAAGACCCCAACAATGGTCGTTTTACAGCTCCGTCAAAACAGGCCAACCGCCAAGCAGCGCTGACTCTTGTAATTAACTGTAGACTTCGTGCTATTGTTCTTAGCAAAGGACCCCAACAATGGTCGATTTACAGCTCCGTCAAAACTGGCCAACCGCGAAGCAGCGCTGACTCTACCAATTAACGGTAGACGTCGCGCTATTGTTTTTACCTGTTGGCAACATTGCCGTTTTGCCAATTTACTGTTGTTTCTTGAACAGGATTTGTCTATTTTCTGTCCATTGCTTTCAATGATAGCGACAGCTTCCTACACATGGTGGAAGTATAAATGCTATTTAATTCTGGAGTAGATCAATTTTGGGTGGGATGTCCCCCATCACACCGTTTGATTCATATCCATCAACCCATGTGCATACAGAGGCTACACAGGGCGGCAAGAAACACATAGAAACTGTGTCACAGGGTAAAATTTTCGCTTCACAAGGAAATCCGTGAGGCAGCCTAGTCCTTCACTAGAGTTAGCATTTCCTCACCAATTTTGTTTTTTTTTTTTGTCTCATAACTAAATATTTTTTTGTCTCATAACTAAATATTTTTTTCATTCGAGAGGTTTACTCATTTTTTCAAGTTAAAAAACAAGAAGAATACACAAATAAAATAAATAAATAAAATAAGTTAATCAAAGTACATACATAATAAGCTCTACAAGAATTTTTTCCCAACTTTTATTAATTTTATACATAAAAAAAATTATACATAAAGATTGCATGCTTCATTAAAATTATATCTTGTGCTCTACATGCTTTTGCATACTATTGCATGCCCCCTTGCATGTCGCCCTCAACTAAAAGTTGTAACTACTATTTATAGATAAGCATTTACAGGTACAATTTTCATTTCTATATTTAAGGAAGTAGTGGGATAATATCTCATTTATATTCATTTATGAACATAGTGGTCCCATGTTCACCCATAAACATAATGACTCCATTATCTACCAAGCAATGAGTAGTTTTCTCTTATAATCTCTCATGATTTTAGTGGATTGAGAGCATTTCTAGCCATGCCCCTTACACTCTTTAATACATCTTTTATGATCCCACAATCTTAGATGCTCATAATTGCCATGTACCCATGTTCTACATGTCCACCTAGCAGTCCCAAGACTCCCAACTGTTAATTTCTGCTGTGTCTACTATGAGGTCTTTTGCATGCCTTGAACAATCTTTTATTCCAGTTTTTTAGATTGTGCCAAGTCAAACCAACGACTTGCACAAGCGGTTCGCGTTGCTAAATTCGCATTTATATACAAGCTGTTAATATTTGCGTTGCTGAATTTGTATCTGTTTATAAGCTGCGAATGTTTGTGCTGCCAAATTCTGCTAGTGCTGCCAAATTCTGCTATAGCCCTATTCTCATTAGCTTATCTTCTCAACAAGTTTTTCTACCTGGCCTGGACATTCTAGCCCATGTTCATTAATAATCTGCGCAAACAATTTTTCTTCAATGAACCTACAGCTATATAAATCCGTGCTATTAATTTATTCTAATGTTGGTATGGCTATCAGCACCCTTAAACACTATTTTAAACACTATTTTAGATAGTTTGCCTTAGATACTATTTTGGATAGCTTGTCACGGTGTGTAACTCGTGTATATTCAACACTGTTACACTCTGTTTTGTGTGATGTTATCCATGTTAGATCATATTACATTTTTGACTTGCAAATGCGAATCCACCAGTTTTGCTCAACTTACAGTAGCTACAATCTACCAACAACATGATGCTTAATCTTGTTTCCCAAAAGGAGTAGTTAAAGCTGTCATCCAATTCATGAAGAACCTTAGGTAGGAGTGGGCGCTGCCGCCTCAGATACTCGCAAAAGTGGTTCAATTAGCTAAAGTGAATCGAATCATCATGTATATGAACCATCAGTTTGTAAATATATAGTTTAAATCATCTTCTGATGTAAACACTGCATTCTTTTTTTCTGTAGATTGATATTGGCTTCTTGTGGGAACCCAGCAAGGATCAAATGATGTTAAGGCATTCACTATAAAAACCATCCCGACAATATTTTATTGTTCCAAACCAGTTTTAATGAACGTACATGCTAACAAAACTAACTCTAAGGAGCAGAATTCAGAGTAAAAGTTTCAATACAACAAATTATTAACTTGCGTTTTCACTATTTAAAACACAAGGAAACATTAAGAACATAACTAAAAGGTCAAGACACTAGGCAGAAGCTGCAGCTTCTTCCAGCAACTGCTTAACCTTGGTGATATAGTCACTCATTGCTTCCTCCTTGGATTTTGCTGACCAAAAAGATATATATCCAAGAGTTAAGAAATGTATCAGACAAGGAGAGTGGCTATCGTTAAGAAAAAAAGGTAAGAAACCAATATCCTAAGAGCATAAATTCAGAATCAATACCTTCAACAGCCTTCCATGCATCCCACTTTGCCCTGTCCCTCATGTTGAAAATTCCAGGGCGGCCTGCAAATTGCCACAAATAGAAAGGATCGGTCAAAACGGACAGATGGAAGAGAAAATGTTGATTCCAATAAAAATACGCTTTATGTTTAAGAAAAGCATCAGGGGGATACTATCTGAGGGGAGCAAAATACTCACTGGTGTTCACTGGGCCAACAGTGGCTTGCTTGTAGAGCCCATAGAGAATAAGTTTGTTCTCATTTGTTGTATTTTCTGGCAGAGTCTTGGCTTTCTCAGCATGCTCCTGAAATTCCTCCTGCGCGAAACCAAACCCAATTTGTGACATCAAATAAACAACTTAAACGTCAAGCATGCAAAGCAGCTGAAGCCGATTGGCTAAAGCAAAGTTCTTTGCATTTCACATCTAACTGCACATAAGATTTCATAAATCTCTTGTCTTGGAAAACTAGGAAGGAAGAAATGCACCGTCTAAAGAGATCAGAGTCTGAAATTGATTTTCCTAAATCTATATTAATCCATGACGAGACCGTGACTCTAAGCATGAATAAGATTGACCGCAGAATATTAAAATTTGACTAAAGCAGTAGAGTAAGATGTCATTACTGCAATGGGTCGAAACAAAGATCCTCAACTACAATTACAAGATCTGAAAACCAATGAATCAAGATTTATATTAAACAGAGTGACCAAGAATTTCATGCAGCTACACTGATACACTAAATACGCTAATAAGCATGAAAATTAAGATTGCGCCTTTAAAAAAAATAAGAGGTAAAAAATTCACATGATCTAATTCTAATGCATAAGCCAATCCTATACCATCGATCGAGCATTAAATCCAATGCTAGATCTAATCAAGAAAGATTGATTACTGTGAGCAAGAGATCAATTTACTAGATCACGATTATCACACCTGCAAACCCATCGCGTTACTTGGAGTGGAATCGCTCTGCTTCTTGTTTTTTTTTTCTGTTTTTTTTTTGCGTCTCAGATAGCGAAAATGAAGAAGAGGCGTGTACTTTACAAGAGAGTTTCAGAGTTATTACGCTTGCTGATTGAGGAGGCTATTCAGTTGATGTTGTTCCAGCACGTGGCTTGTTTCGGTTGGTTAAACTAAATGTCGAGGGCCAGGGGCGTTACATCTGTTAGTTTTTGAACACCAGTCTTTTCTTTTAGCCTTAACAAAAAAAAAAAAAAATTTTTTTAGACCCCATTTATTTGTAAAAAAGTTATTTCTTTTTAAAAAGTGAATTTCAGAAAAATGAATTCTAAAAAGAATAAATTTCTGAAAAGTAAATTATTTTCTGATATTTGGTAGTGTTATGAAAAATGAACTGGAAAACACTTTCCAGTGTTTGGTTATGTTATGGAAAATGAACTGAAAAATAATGTATTAATATTTTATTTTTCTCAAGTTTATTAAAATAATAAGGAATAAATCTTACAAATTAAAAATTTAAATAATAATAAAATTAAAAAAAATAATTTCATAAATTATCTCAAATAAAATAAATAATAATCAAAATAATAAAGATCAAATCTAAAAAAAAAGATGAAGAAATTAAAATAATAATAATTAACATTTCATAAAGTATTTCAAATAAAATAAATAACAATCAAAAGAATGAGGACCAAATTTGATAGAAAAAAATTTCAATAAAAAAATAATAGGAGAAAAGCAAATAACAATTATAAAAATGAGGACCAAAGTAAATATAAAAATTAAATTTTAAGAAATGAAATTGAAAAATAAATATTTAAAATAAAAAATATATATATAGCAATCAAAAGTTTGAGGATCAAATTTGATATAATCAACAAATAATGACATTTCTAAACTTTTCACAACTTCCGGAAAGTGTTTTCCTCCCAAATTTTTCAGGAAAACACTTTCCTGAAAATCAAGCCAAATTTTCCTTTTACTGGAAAGTGTTTTCCGTTTACTAATTTTCCTAACAGCAAACAAATACAAGAAAGTTTGGAAAGTGATTTTCCAAAAACCACTTTCTGAAAAACAAACACAAGAAAGTTTGAAAAGTGTTTTCCCAGAAATCACTTTCCGAAAAACAAACACGGCTAAAAAGGAAAACACTTTCCTGAAAACCAAGCCAAATTTTTTTTTGACTAAAAAATATTTTCGTTGACCAGAAGGTGTTTTCCGTTGATCGGAAAGTGTTTTCCGTTGACTGGAAAATGTTTTTTATTGACCGAAAAATATTTTTCGTTGACCAACTTTTCTAATGACAAACAAACACAGGAAAGTTTGGAAAGTGGTTAACCTTAACTTTCTTTTCTTATTCATCTATTTTTTTTTAAAAAAATACATATCTTTTTTTATTAGTAATATCCTTTTTTAATTAAAAACCAAGGTAATTAAAATAAATATTTATAAAAAATTTCAATGATTTAAATTAAAGAGAGAGAAATAAACCTTTTAAATCAAAGCTCCATTTCCTTAATCATAGTTTTCTTTTTTGTTTAGAAAAAAATATTATTTTATATAATAAATATCATCTCTTAAATGAAATTAAATCATGATTTGAAAAACAAGTTCCAATAAATAAATAAAAACAAAATCATGACTCAATAGTTTTTGATAGATAATATAAAAGTATAATTAAATGTAAACGTGAGAACAATGATTTCAGGACTTAAATGTAAAGACCTAAACAAGAGAAGGACCAAAGAGATTTTTAAAAAAATTAAGGAACCAAAATGTATTTTGTATCAAAGTGTACACTAACGAATACTACTTTCATTATTCGAAAATCCGTTTCGTTTTAGCACATCAGTAGTAATGCTTTAAGAATAAGTTTTTTTTTAAAATGATTATTAAGTAAATTATCCGCACCTAAATTAAAAAGTTAAATCCTTTTTATATATAATTAATTAACACGTTCATGAAAATATATTTCTCACATATACTACCCTTAACATTATTTTATTACTGAAAATCCAAGTCTCCGAGTGAAGAGGACAGGACCTCCTTGATGGCGCATAAGCCCTTTTAGTTGAAGGGGACGAAAACCTCTTTGACGGCCCATAAGACCGTTTTGTTGAAGAGGACAAGAACCTCTTTGACGGCCCCTAAGCCCTCTTGTGTTTTAATTTGCCGTTGCTTCGCCCAATCCGACCTGCTTCCTCGAACTCAATGCTCCATTCCTCTCTGCCTCAAGCCAACCTCCCAAATTCAGGTAAGAAACCTCCGCTCAACTTCTTTGCACATCACTTCGTAGCCTGAAATGGAACTCTGCATCTGTTTTAATTCCATTTAAGAAGAAGAATAAGAAGAAGTAGAAGCAAACGCATTAAAAACATGCTCTCTTTACTGTCCTTAAAGAAAACATATAGTACTAATCACCATCTCTTCCAAATTCCCAAAAGACTATTTGTTGCTCTTAGCTCAACAGCAACTTCAACTCAATCCATAGAAGTTGAAAGAATTGCGAGAATAATCAATGACCATCCATTTCCAAATCAACCTTTACATCCAACTCTCACCCGCCATATTCCATCACCTCTCCTTACCACTGCTTTTGTTGAAAACGTTCTTGGCCGCCTCTTTGCTGCTCACTCTAATGGCCTTAAAGCCTTGGAATTCTTCAAATATTCGCTCAATAATCAAACCCATTTTTCCCCAAGTCCGGATTCCTTCGAAAAGACGCTTCACATACTTGCCCGGATGAGATATTTTGATAAAGCTTGGGATTTAATGGTTGAAATTGGAAAGACGCATCCGTTTTTGCTTACCCTTAAGTCTATGAGCATAATGTTATGTAAAATTGCTAAATTTCGATCTTATGAGGAGACCCTTGACGCGTTTGAGAAAATGGAGAAGAGGGTTTTTGTTGGGAGGAAATTTGGCGTTGAAGAGTTTAATGTGTTACTTCGGGCATTTTGCACTGTGAGGAAATTGAAAGAGGCGAAATCTGTGTTTATAAAGATGCATGAGAGGTTCCCTCCTAATGTTAAGACCATGAATATTTTGCTGTTGGGGTTCAAGGAATCTCGGGATGTTACTGCAATGGAGTTGTTTTATCATGAGATGGTTAAGAGGGGGTTTAAGCCTAGCAGCTCAAGTTATGGTATTAGGATTGATGCTTATTGTAAAAAGGGTTATTTTGCTGATGCTTTGAGGATTTTTGAAGAAATGGAGAAGGCTAATTGCTTGCCGACATTGGAAACAGTCACCACTTTGATTCACGGAGCAGGGGTTGCTCGAAATGCAATGAGAGCCAGGGAGTTGTTTGATGAAATTCCTAAGAGGAATTTGCAAGCTGATACTGGGGCATATAATGCACTGATTAGCTCACTAGTTAAGTGTAAGGAAGTGAAGTCTGCCATTCAGTTGATGGATGAGATGGAAAAGAACAATATTCATTATGATGATATGACCTATCATACAATGTTCTTAGGCTTGATGAAATCAGGTAGTATTGAGGGGGTTTGTGAGCTTTATAACAAGATGGTTGATAGAAATTTCATTCCCAAAACACGAACTGTGGTTATGCTGATGAAATTCTTCTGCGTGAATAGCCAGATTGATCTGGGTTTGAATTTTTGGGGATATCTGGTGGGGAAGGGGTATTGTCCTCATCATCATGCATTGGACCTTTTGGTAACAGGATTGTGTTCTAGGGGGAGGTCGCATGAAGCTTTTAAGTGCTCCAAGCAATCACTGGAGAGAGGAATCCATGTCAGCGAAGCAGTCTATCGAATGTTGGAGAGATTCTTACTGCAATCTAACATGACGGACACGCTGGGGGAGCTCAATCAGATGATAGAGAAGTTACAATCTGTTTTGCCCCCATCAAGTGGGAATTATATTCATAGTCCTTCCTCTGGTATGGAGTAAGATGTTTCTTTTATGAACATATTAATACAATTTTATCTGAATTGGGAGAAATGCTCGACGGTCTGATGTGATTTTGGTGATTTTATACCAATTAAAGGGAGTGAGCAACATTATGGATTCCTCATTATAATCTAGGATTTTCTGCTTTGCAGTGAATGAATCTTATGATAGTGTTCTGTGATGGTTATGGAAGTTAGCAAATGAGGGCAATGTTGAGGGTACTGACTGTAAGATCACAGGGAGAAAATAAAATTGACCCAAGAAATTAAGACCATAGTATCTGGTCAGGTGCTCAATCCATGCAAGGTATCTGTGGAATCCTATATGCTTGGGTATATCATGATTTTAAATGTTACACCATGCAAAACCTGTTAGATATGGTGATCATGAAGGCGCTTTTACTTTTGATATGTGCAAATTGGTGATCCGCAGTATGATATGTTCAAGCCACTGTTATGACAAATTTATGGAATTTCTTTGCTTGTCCGTTCTTTTGGTTGCAATACTTTCAAGAAACCTATGTATGCTTTTGCAACATTCTGTGAGCATCATTTATCGTGACTTTAGCATCTGCCCTGTGGGAAACAACATAAATATGAAACTGGCTTCATAATTCCAATCAAACAATTTCTTTGTCATTGGATGGAGGTCTGTTCTCTGTTTTATTATGCCTCGGGAATTTGAACTAAAATCTTTTTCAAGATGAAATATGTTGATGGAACTGGATGATGAGCTACATAAGAGAAAAAAAAAACCCAGGAAAGCTACAAGACAGAAATTTGATTATATTAAGGTGTTCTCTTAAAATTGTTTCCTTATGGATGTGCTCTAAATGTCAAATGTTTACTTGAAAGAATCTCAATTGCTTGAATTCTCTCTGCTCTGGGTTTTAAGTATGACTTCAAGCTGTGATTGATTGATTTTTTGATATCTTTATGTGAGTATTTGTCATCTGATCTGGAGGATTCACACACACACACACACACACACAGACAAAAACAAAAAGGGCGGTTATATCATTTGCTTATGATTTCACTCCATCAATTGTTTTAGGTCCCAGATGCCGGTTTTTTAAACTGACTTTTGTTGAATGCTCCAAGAGATTTGAGGGTAGAGAATTTGGATAAGATGTGGGTCCAAAAGCTCTGGTACTGATAAATAGACCATAAGGAATGTGAGGATACATCTTTGTGATATGATTGGAAAGAATGAAGAGGAGAAAATGGAAGAGAGAGGCAGAAATCGTTCCATCGTAGATGAAAGCTCCAAATGGGACATTCTGAAGTTTCAGCTCAACGTCTTCAGGCTCTGATTGCAGGAAGTCCACCCAGCAAGGCTGCATCACATAATTTGGTGGCCACACTCAGTGAGAAAGTGTTCAAAGGCAAATCATTACTTGTCTCTATTGGCACATGAGAATGAACCCTGAGGCTCCATAGCTATCCTTTTGCAAATGTTAAACCTCAAAAAACAAAAAACAAAAAACAAAAAAACCGACATTGAGATATAGAACTCAAACCAACAGGCTGCAAAGTCCTCATGTTAAGTTCTTTGCTCATGCTGTAAAGGCCTGCAATCTAGGAAACTCAACCATGGGGTGGAGTAGTAACCACAACCACGCAAGGAGAGCAAGATTCAACGTTTTGAAAGATTTTTTTTTAATTCCTTTGTAAACACATTGAGTTAATCATAAATTAATCCTTACACTTTATTGAAATTTATTAATTAATCAATCCCAGTAGTTTCAGAAACTATTTATTCAATCTCTCTGTTTTTTTAATAAAAAGAATCTTGTAAATAGAATCTTGACTACAACGTAGTACTTTTGTCAATAAAATTACGATAAAAAGACAGAAAGAAGAAGAAGACATTTTTGAAAGAAAAGAGAGAGAGAGAGAGAGCACGTCGAGGAGTAATTAATTATATGTTTTAATACAAGAGAGCTAGTTAATTAGCGAGGAGTAAAATGTCATTTAGGCTCAAGAAAAAACAAAAAGGAAAACAGGATGCTTTAGCTCATTGAGAGCCCGGCTCTACAAATGAAGGTTAAAAATTTAAAAGCAAAACATTACTGTGTTCCGCAACAAGAATGGGTAGAGGCAGAGGAGGAAGAGGAGGAGGAGGAGGAGGTTACGCCGAGCTTCACGCGGCTGCGAGGTCAGGTGACATGAAAGCGATGGAGACAATTGTCAGCTCAAACCCTTTGGCTATTAACTCTAGAGATAAGCACTCTAGAACTCCGTATCCTCCTCCCTTTTATTTTTTCGATCATTGATGCAGCATTTTAATCAAATTTATCTACGAATTTGGGGTTACTGCGATCCATTTAATCTCATTTTTTCAAGATTTTGTTAGCTTTAGAGTACCTCTACTTTGGAGTTTATGATTGGATACTCTTTTGACTAATTGGTTAAAATAAATCATGGGTTTCTTTCATATCCATATTTCATAGTGCTAAGTCGAAACAAAAATTTTTGGGTTTTTGTTGTGTTTTGCAATGTATAATAAAATTTTCATCTGTTGTGATGTTCATTTTCAGTTGTTGAAAAGCTAGATTATCAATCAGATGAAGGCAAACCTTTTCGTTCATTAAATTTCTCTGAATTAATTACATGTCAAGATAGCCGGCGTGTGATCTGGTGTGAAGCATAGGCCTTCTGAATTGACAACGCTAGTATTTTGGGTCACTTGGCGATGACTTGAAAGGGAAATTCCCTACTTACAATTTTCATACCAACACAGTCAATCTTGGTAGAAATGTTAGCTAATTGCACATTAGTGAGACAGTAGATATGAGTGGAACAATCTTTTGTGCTGTCCGATTAAAATTTTTCTTTGTCTTTTGTATATCTACAGCAGGGTAGATTTCTATGTAGTTTTCTTTTGTTGTCTATTAAAATTTCTATATAGATATCAGCACAAGGAATAAATAGTTAGGAAGCACTTGTCGACTACAAAATAGTGGAATTATAGTCGAAGGATTGACTGGAGAGAAGTCCAATGTTTGCTCTATATCCATTTGCTAGCTTGTTTGCGTTATTGACATATTTGAAATTTATAGTTCAGGGAAAGGCTCTTTGAAGTTAACAATTCAAGCTTTTTGTACAAATAAAGATACTTGCTAATACACTGTCCGATTGTGAACCATTTAAACATGTGTAATGAAATGAAATAAGAAAATAATCATATCAGGCATCATATCTACAGTTTTCAACCTTACATTGGCTCTTCATTTTCTTCTTTTCTTTCATGAAATTGCTGGCTCTGGTGTTTCATGCTAATTTCTGACCAGAACTTCAAAAGATACTGAAGTTGCAGGATTTAGAATTTTGCGTCCTTGACACAGTACCCTCGTTTCATAGATTGCATTTAGCTGCATGGTCTGGGAAGGCAGAGGCAGTGACTTATCTCTGCAAGCACAAGGCTGATGTTGGCGCTGCTGCCATGGATGACATGGGAGCAATTCACTTTGCTTCCCAAAAGGGTCATTTAGAAGTTGTCCGAACTCTGCTTTCATCTGGGGCTTCCATCAAAGCTTCCACCAGAAAGGGCCTCACTCCGATTCACTATGGTGTTCAAGGGTCCCATCTTGAGCTAGTCAAATACTTGGTAAAGAAAGGAGCAAGCCTTACTGTCAAGACAAAAGCAGGAATGACCCCTCTTGATCTTGCAACCAATGAAGAAATCCGCTTGTTTCTGGAAGAAAGTGAAAAGACACCGAAGAAAGAAACCCTGAATGGAAATGACAAAGCTGAAGTATCTGAACCAAAGACATCATTGGAGGATAAATCAGAGTATTCTGGTGGTGAAGCCACTGCTGGGGAGCATGAAGAACAAGTGAATGAAAGTTTTAAGAGGAAGGGTGAAGCAAATGATACCAAGGAAACCTCGTCAGAACTGAAGAGAGCAAGAGTTGCACTTAATCATCTTCTGAGCGCAGACGACACTCAGGAAGAAGAAAACGTGTGAGGATAGTATATAAGTTAGCGGGCTAATTAACCTTTTAACCAAGCATCCCGGCAACAATGTTCTTGTCTTAGGGTATATCATTTGTATGACTTGAAAAAATCCTTCTTTTGCGCTTGCTTTTGAACTTGGATTTGCGTGAGCGACTCCGATTGATTTACTAGTTATCTTACTTGTGCAAGCTTTCATATTTCCATCTTTTTCATGCATCGAAAGTCAAAACAAAGTTGCTAATCGCAAGGCATTTTGCACGAGTCCTGCACTCAACGCCTATGTATCTTTCCAGTATATTTCGTCTCCGATAAGAGCAACAGATCATGAATGATGCAGCAGCTAAGTGTGACGTGATTACTTTCGACGTCATAATTTACTTTCGACGTCATAATGTAAATCAAAATAAGATTGATACTTTTTTAATATCCATGGACTCTTCATGGTTGATGTTTTTTACTGTTGAAAAGCGGATGATCGGTAACTTTTTTCCTCCTCTGTATTTTGACACGATGATTGACATTTTTTATCATCAAAATGTGATTATTGATCAAAATCTTTGTTTGTGACTTTTTTTTTTTTTTTTTATTTCAATATATATGAATTAAAATATAGTAAAATAAAGTTTAAAATAAAATATAAATACCTAAAATTATAGGGTTCAAATATGAAAAAATAAAATATTCGAAGGATTGAATTGTGTTTCGTGTTGTAGATATACAACAGCCACGTTGAATGCTTGCTGTTGTTGCAATCAGATGAACAGTACAAAACGATACTTTTAGTTTTTAATTAATTTAATTTTAATGTAACGAGATTGTAATTGTAATTGTAATTGTAATTTATAATGTAATCGTAATTGTTAGGAAGTAAATTGAGAGGGAAAAAAAACATGAAATGAAAGCATTGAAACGCCATGGAAAGAATGAAGAGAAGAACAAAAAAAAAGGCTAGGAAAACACGCAGCTCTCTGCTCTCTTAACCCCCTAGTCTCCGCACCCAAAGACCAAAACTTAAGCCATGGATCTGCTCTCGTTCTCGTCCTCCACAGCAACCTCACAATTTTCCTCTAAAAACCCACTCTCTCTCATCACCGCCACCAAAACCCCACTTCATTTTTCCCCTTCAGTTTCAAACACATAACACCATCTTCTCCAAAACTGTCACCTCTCAAAACCTCCCTTAAATCCTCCAAGACCCTAGCTCCAATTCCCCAACTGGCCACTCCTCAAACACCGGCCACCTCCATGAGAGGGGCTGAGACGGACGCTATGGGTCTGTTGTTGAGGGAGAGGATTGTGTTTCTAGGGAACAGTATAGATGATTTTGTGGCTGATGCTATTATTAGCCAGTTGTTGCTTCTTGATGCTCAGGATCCTACTAAAGATATCCGTCTCTTCATCATTTGTCCTGGCGGTTCTCTTAGGTAATCTTAAATAACACCCATTTCCACTTTCTTATTTTTAGCTTGAAGTTTGAATCCATTTTTACTTACACCTACATTTTTACAAGGAAGATACGTGCTTTTATTTTTAATGTTTTTTTGAAAATGAAACAACTCATATGCTGTTTTGTTTATTAAAGCAGTATTAGTTGGTTCAAGAGATTGAATTGAGGTGGGATTAGGGAAATGTATTAGGTTTTAATCTTACTCAACAGGGATAAAAATGGTCTAGAAATTCTATGGAATGATTACTTGTTCTAATCTTATTTTGTTCAGTAATATATTTTTAATCCACTTTAAATAATTAAACAGCCATTAGTTATTCTTCAACGCTTCACATTTGCAAGGGAACCGATTATAGATTTATGGTTGGATTCGGGGCTAGTCCTGTTTCTTACATTGGCTTCCCATTTCATGATGTCATGCGTCCTCTCCAACAATTATAGAGTATCAACTTCATCTTGTGGGGACAAGATAAATAAAAAACATGTAAAAGGGAACTAAAGCATAAAAATCTTTGGGAAGTTTATGTTTGTAGATCTACTCGATTGATCTACAGTAAAGGAAATGTAATTTGTTTGTTGTGCCCTTGCTAATTTGCTTTTAGTGTTATTATGCACAGTTGTGCCCTTGCCGATTCGCTTTTAATGCTACTATGCACAGTGTTACTATGGCTATCTATGATGTGGTGCAGCTTGTGAGGGCTGATGTTTCCACAGTTGCTCTTGGCATTGCAGCATCAACAGCTTCTATAATTCTTGGTGGTGGAACAAAAGGCAAGCGTTTTGCAATGCCCAACACACCGATAATGATTCATCAACCTCTTGGAGGAGCTAGTGGGCAAGCAATAAATGTGGAAATTCAAGCACGAGAAATTATGCAAAACAAGAATAATGTAATTAGAATTTGTGATGTTTTGAATAAATGAGTAGGAAAATATAATAAAGCTCTTGGTGGCTTAAAGTGTGGGTATAAATGAATGAGGGGTAGTGTAGTAATTGAATAAAATTTGATAAATATAAATATAAAGTAAAAAACAAAAACAAAAAGAGATC